CACTATGGGTGTTGGGGGGGGGCAGGTGTTTTGTCTGGAGATGGCCATTTTTGTTTGACATGTTGTCATTTTGCTGTTGCTACGTGAAGCCATGTGCTTCAGGGCTTGGCTGCAGGGGTACGAGGGGTGGCCAAGGGCCACCAGTGGCGCACGGGGATGCAGGAGGCCAGGATGTGGCCGGTCTCCCTGTGCAGCTGAGGATCTCTGCAGGGGTGAGGGTCTGCATGTGCTGGGTGCTGCGGAGACCCTGGGCAAGATCCAGCTGACTCAGGAGCCCCTGTCAATGGCTGCCACCTTCTGAAAGCACAGGGGAGAGGGGTGAGCGCTCATCAGTGGCCTCTGTGGTGGTTAAGCAAAAATTAAATTGGAATCGATTTCAATAAACCATCGATACCCTGGAGGCAGAGCCGTTTAGCCATCAACCACAAGTAATTTGGCCTGGCCAAGACTGCAGAGGTGCTGGCAGCAGAGATGAGGGCTGCTGTGGGTCAGCGGCTGGTTCACGGTGCATCCTTTGGCAGGATGGAGCCATTTAATCTCTCATGCTGGCTCTGCATCCCAGGTCCCTGACTGATGGGATTCAGGGGCTGCCCCTCTCCGTTGGTCTTTGGCTCCCAGTCTGTAACTTGCTTGCCCTCCTCCTGATCTGCTGGTTCGTGCCAGCCTGCACCGGGTCTGGTGCAGAGGTAACGCTGCCTCTTGCTGCCTGGCTTCTGCCAGATGCCCTTTTCCCTCGGGTGGTGCTTGCACGCACCCGTTGGCCAGGGCCAGTGAGCGGGTCTCTCCTCGTGCAGCTCTCCGCAGCCCGCTGAGCGTGTCCAGCCCCTACACGTCCTCCTTTGGGATGGTGCCACACGCCACCCTCAACGGGGAGCTCCCAGCCCCCAGCATGTACATGGGCATCCACCTCTCGCCGCAGGTCAGCAGCGCCGTGATGTACGGCCGGTCCCCGATGGTAAGTCACTGGGGGACAGGCTCAAGCTGCCGGCACCGCTTTGGCTCTGCCGCCTGTCCCGTGCTGTCCTGGGGTGCACGGTCCCTGACGTGCAGGATCTGCACTGCTGCAGTGAGCTCCGGCTAGGGGGTGAAGCCATAGGAAGGGCTTCTTTCTGGAGGTGGCTGGGTTGTGGGGCCGACGGGGGCTGCAGAGCTCTCGTAGAAGCCCCCATTGGTTCCCCTGTGTGTAGCTGTGTCTTTGGAGCCCACTTTGGCCTTTGGCCTGTGGAGGAAGCAGCGAGGAGGAACCTTGCGCAGAGTCAGGCTGGCCCTGTCCCAGGGCGTGCGGGGAAGGGCACGAGCCCAGCCTTTGTGTCAGCTCCTGGGGGTTTGGCACTTGCTCATCACGTGCCCTTTGCCTTCTGCAGGTGGCTTTTGAGTCACACCCTCACCTGAGGGCTTCCACCATCTCATCTTCACTTTCCACCATCCCCGGAGGGAAACCGTAAGTGTGGCCGCACCAGGGGCTGCAGGGAGGGTGGGCAGCAAGGGACCGACCTGGGCAGCGTGGGGGGTGGGGGGGGTGTCTCCTTCCCCACGGCTCATTGCTACACCACCACTCTCCACTTCTGAGTCCAGCGCTGTCATTTCATTGCAGGCAGCTGGTGGTAACGAGGAGTGGATTAATCATATCCCTCATTAGCCACAGCACAGCGTACACCTTCCACCTGGCTCCGGCGTGGCTAATGGGAGAGGTCGGCTCCTGCACTCGGGCATCAGGCCGCTTTTCTGCTCCCTTCCAGTGCCTACTCCTTCCACGTCAGCGCCGACGGGCAGATGCAGCCGGTGCCCTTCCCACCCGACGCCCTCATCGGCTCTGGCATCCCCCGGCACGCACGGCAGCTCCACACCCTGACCCACGGCGAGGTGGTCTGTGCCGTCACCATCAGCGGCTCCACGCAGCACGTCTACACCGGGGGCAAGGGCTGTGTGAAGGTGTGGGATGTGGGGCAGCCGGGCACCAAGACGGCCGTGGCGCAGCTGGACTGCTTGGTAAGGAGGAGGAACAGAAAGGCACTTTGTAGGGGGTTGGCAAGGGGAATGTGTCCCTCTTACACTGGAGGGGGACAGAGGGTCCTTTCATGTTTGTGATGAGGAAAGGAGATCCCTCTCCCCCCACCCTCCCCTGCACTGATCAGTTCCTTCTTCACTTGCCCTGTTTGCTGTTATCCCAATTGAGAACCGCGACAACTACATCCGCTCCTGCAAGCTGCTCCCCGATGGCCGGAGCCTGATCGTGGGGGGGGAGGCCAGCACCCTCTCCATCTGGGACCTGGCAGCCCCCACGCCCCGCATCAAGGCCGAGCTCACCTCCTCTGCGCCCGCCTGCTACGCCCTGGCCATCAGCCCTGACGCCAAAGTCTGCTTCTCCTGCTGCAGTGACGGCAACATCGTGGTGTGGGACCTGCAGAACCAGACCCTGGTGAGGTGAGCGCGGGGCAGGGGGCTGGTGGCACAGGGCAGCAATGTGGAGGGGGATGCTGGCAGCCCTGATGGCCGGGTCCTCGCCCTCTCCGTCCCCTCTTTCCCAGGCAGTTTCAAGGCCACACGGATGGTGCCAGCTGCATCCACATCTA